GTAGGATGGTTATTCAACATTGCTCACCAAACCTTGACAATTAAAAGTAAAACATGTTACTTAGAATGAATAGTTTAGTATATCCATCTCAAGCAAATGAAGCAAATAAATGATTTAGGATTAGCCTTTTTCTAGCCTTTTTGGCCCTGTTGAGGTGCCCATGCTCCAATGAAACGTTAACTCGCAAAAATCGCAGAAACAATTGTTATGCCTTTTTTCCCAACATGTATCTCAATATTTAACCTCTTCGCAGGTTAGGGATTTTGGTATTGCTGAACAAGAAGAAGATATTGGTTATTATGTTGGTTTTATAGGTTTGGTGTATTTGCAGTTCTTTTTATATATATTTGAAATTTGTTCATCAACTCCTCATTGTAATTATCAATGCCTTAATTAAAATGTCAACTCGTGCAGGTTCCACCTTTATGCTTGGAAGAGCTTTGACATCTTTCTTCTGGGGATCGATTGCTGACAGATATGGCCGCAAGCCTGTAATAATTATAGGCACTATCACAATGTTAGTTAAAAATCTAGTTCGAGTTCATCTTTTATCCCGATTCCGATATCCTAATAATGTAATGGTTTTTTCATTGTCAGCGTTATATTCAATACTCTCTTTGGGCTCAGTGTAAACTTCTGGATGGCCATCGTCACAAGGTTTCTTCTTGGAAGTTTGAATGGTATACTTGGACCTATGAAGGTATTTTTTTGCTAAAGATGCAACCACATTTCAGGTTAATTAAGATCTAGAGCTGTAGCTTCATTGTACTAGTCGATTTTTCTTCACCTTCTAGTACTATTTTATCCACTCATAACTATGCTTAATCCTTGGCCAGGCATATGCATGTGAAGCAGTTCGTGACGAACATCAGTCTCTAGGATTATCAGCGGTAAGCAGTTATTAATGGTCTTTCGTAACTTTATTGTATGGTAGTGTGAGATAAATGAAAAACAATGCTGTTAAAAGGGGTCAAATTAAGGATATATGCCCTGAGAAGAACCATTGAAAATGCAGCGAACACGCTTTCTTAAGGGTTCAAATGCTTAAAGCAGTGAAAAATGTCACTGATTCCTTTTAAATTGTACCCTACTCTTTTAGGTATTTCCCTGTAGCTTTCGTCTTAAGGGTTCAACTTACATTTTCTAGGTCAGTACAGCATTGGGAACAGGATATATTATTGGACCTGCTTTGGGAGGCTTTCTTGCTCAGGTACTTTTTCGTTTGTAAGTCATCTGATGCTTCTTTCCATTTAGAATGACTGGAGATGGATAATTTTACTGTTGTGTAGCCATCTTGAAGTGTGAAATATATACGAGCAGGCGAAGGGGGAAGTTTCCAAAATAATGTTTCAGCTAAATTTAATGACGGTTCATACACCAAAATTCTCATGTACTCTTTTTTATTATTACTTTCAAATATTGCCATTATTAAAAAATCAACTTTCAATACATTTTACATGACTTGTCATGTAATGTCATTATATAATGTACTTCTTTTGTTTGATTAATAAAATATAATAATGTAAAAATTTGATAAATCATAGAAGAAACATAATTTCAAATCATAAAAAAATAGAATATGCAACTTTCATCTTTACTAGTACTATAAAATTTATATTTGAACTTGCATGTAAGTATATCTTCATCTTTACTACTTCTCATTGTTTTTTCCAATGTATTCTTATGAAATTTTTGGGGTAAGCCGGCTGAGAAATTCCCTGGAATTTTCGCGCAAGAATCTTTGTTTGGCAGGTATATTTTCTTTCTTTCTTCTACATTTATTTTCATCTTCTGTCATCATGATCTACAACAATACCATTATTTGGTAATTGGCAGATTCCCCTACCTCTTGCCCTGTCTAGTGATTTCACTCTTTGCGGCCATTGTGACAGTTGCTTGCTACTGGATCCCGGTACATTTCTTTTGCCTACCATTCTTTGTTTCTTTCTTCAGTTTCTACACATTTTATGTTTCTTGCTAGTTTGGTTAAAATGTACAGTGGTAGTGGACTTTGCCTCTCTTACCATATTTACATGAACTTTTCTCCATGGGGATTACTTTACAAAATGCAGGAAACCTTGCACACACACAACTCAACAAATGTATCATCTCAAAGTTGTTATGCTGCCTTGGAGTCCGGGAATGAAGAGAAGATGGGGGGACAAAAAAATGCTCCTAATCAAAGCCTACTTAAGAACTGGCCCCTCATGTCGTCCATCCTCGTATATTGCATTTTCTCACTTCATAATATGGCTTATACTGAGGTATAACTTATACTGTCATTGCTTTACTTTTCATGAATTGTTTAGATAGTGGTTCAGCAATCATTATCAAATATCGTCATTATGCCCAGCTGTATACTGGACTTTAAAGATGAAAACGTGTCTCTCTTTCTTGCTATTTGATATGAATTTTTGCATTTATTTGTTTTGTTTTTTGCTGTTAAAGAACATCAGATTTAGGAAGAAAGAGGAGATATACTCGAGTTTCTGTGTAATTATCAAGCTGCACAAACCTTCCTTCAGTTTTCAAGTAAAATCTACCGTCATTTAGAGAAAAAAAAAAAAAGAAAGATGTAATTTTAATTCTTTTTCTTCACTTGGACACAAGGACCATGTAAGTAGTGAAATCTTGGGAAGAGAACCGGAGACTAACATTGGAACAGGTTTATGTTAAAGTTGAATTCATCACACTTGAATATATTCATGATAAAAACATTTTAATATGTATAATTCCAATATGATCCTGTTTGAAACTTTTTGTTGACCTGTTTGCATACATTCATATGTTGTTAAACCATTTGACAGATATTTTCATTATGGGCCGAGAGCCCGAGAAGACTTGGAGGCTTAGGCTATACAACTGAGGGTGTTGGCACAGTTCTTACCATCTCAGGTGTGGGATCTCTGGATTTTTCACCTTTTCCTG